TCTTCCGATCTTATATATATATATATATTAGAGTTTTAGAAGGAGGAATAGCTAATCAGATAACATGTGAATTAGCACCCCTTATGGTTGGACCTGACACAATAGTTTTTTCCAACATCTCCCACTCACAAATAATGGAGTGCTCAAGCTCCACCAAGCTAAGAAAAATATACACTCCTTTGAATTCTCTTGCGTCATTTCATATTGGATAAATAGGTCGTGCGACCAACATACTATGAGAGTACGTTGCTATACAGTTGTTAGGAATATATAGCCTCTCGTCATTGTCATGAAAATCTTTAAGTAGATCATAAAAAGTATGCTTAGTGTCCTGAACAATTTGAATCACATTGATACATCCCGCTAGATTTTATGTATCGTAATTTTTTGTGTTTACAATTATGACCCATAAGTCATAACTGGTACCAACAAACACAAACAATGAGATTCCATCAATGATCTTCCTCTTTTCACGAGTCTCTCAACTTGAATTCAACTCACTTTTCTAGTCATGCTTGGTTAACCGAATCTGTCATGGTTATTTAGTAGCATGCTAAGATGGAGAACATTGAACTAAGCTTCGAGACATTAATAATAGTCGTGAGTATCACACCCCAACCTTGGGAGGTGCGATCGATACACGGCGCCCGAAGACCCGTGCAAACCGACGTCCATGCTTAGACCCTTTTAACATAGAATCTGGGCCAACAAGGCCTCCAAGTAATAGTGCCAGGATTTAAAATGTACACTTCGATTGTGAAGGAAACTTTAGCAATGATATATTTACACATACACATATACATATGTTGCCATCAGAGTCACAATCATCTTTTACATATTACCTAACCACTAGTCTAGTCTACAAGATTCTAGGAGTATCAACACACCATACATGTACGCGACTTGATCGTGACAGGGCCCCACCTTACCCAAAATAACTGGAACATACACTTCGATACGTAGTGACTTCTGAACCGCTACTTCGAAGAAGTCGAATGAAACGACCAATAGCTGGAACAAACACCCTACTGGGAAGGAACATCATCGGGTCTATCTGTACCTGTAGGCATGAACACAATAACCACGAACAGATCAACTCAGAATGAATCATACTTTCTGACTTCGGAATACTATCTAAAATCACTTCAACTTGAGAGAAACGTAACGTTACTGGCGAGAATATACATATAAGAATAGAAGCAACGTTACTGGGAAGGACTTAAAAAAAACCAATATAAAAATCATTCAGAGAGAAAGATGTTTACACCAAGTCATGCAAAGAAAGAAAGTTGTCCTGCATGCCTTGTTTACACATCTATGGTGGTTAACTCTACCTCCCGTGAATCTCCAGAGTCAATACAAGAAGATAATAAATTGATGTTTAAAGCTTCCTCACGCTAAATCCTGCTAGATTCACCTTCTATTTAGCCTTAAACAGTTTGGGGAATTCTAAAGGGGGTTTGAGAGAATTTTGGGATCATTAATTTTGGGGATATCTTCCTAGAATGAAAGAGAAACATCTACACCGCCTTTTTATGCTATATCAAGCCTAGAAAATTCTGTTGCTCCACATTCAAAATGAATCGTTCCACCCCGGTTATAGCACTCGGTAGGACAACTAGCGCAAGCCTAATGAAATGTGTAATCCTCTTTGTCCCCCCTACGTGTTTCCAGGCGATTGGCTGCGCTAGAAGCCAAACTTAACAATCTTTAATTTCCATGTGTGGGATGTAACATCACCCATAATCACTTCTTGCAAACTTCTTTAGTCTTTTTGGGTTGTGCCCGCCTTGGTAGTCTCATTATTGCCTTCCGTTGCATGGAATAAGTGGGGGTATTTAGATTTCATGTCTTCTTCAGCTTCCTAGGTTATTTCTTATATATTATTGTTCCTCCCAAGTACTTTAACTTAAGCTACCTCCTTGGTTCGTAATTTACACACTTGACGATCAAGGATAGCCACCGAAACTTCTTCATATGATAGGTCCTCCGTAACATGAATATCTTCAATAGGGGCAGTACAAGATGGATCACTTAAGAAATTTTGAAGCATTGATACATGGAATACCGGATGCACTACTTCCAATTCTAGGGGCAGCTCAAGCTTATAAGCTACTTAACCAGCTCTCTGAATAATTTGATACGGTTCAATATATCGGGGACTGAGTTTGCCTCTCTTACCGAATCTCATCACGCCCTTCATAGGCGACACCTTTAAGAATACCTAGTCTCCAATAGTGAACTTCATATCTCATTATCGATTATCTAGATAATATTTTTGCCTCCTTTGAGTGGTCAATAATCGACTTTGAATTTTTTTTCACCTTTTCTACTGCCCGTTGCACCAATTCAGGACCCTAATAACTTTGTTTCACCAACTTCAAACCTTCCAATAGAAGATATGCACTTCCGTCCGAATAGTGCTTCATATGGTGCCATCCGAATGCTAGTATGGTAGATGTTGTTGTAACCAAATTCGATGAGTGGTAGATGATCTTCCCAATTTCGTTGAAGTCTCAAACACAGGCTCATAGCATGTTCTCGAGTCTCTGAATGGTGCGTTAAGCCTGCCCATCTGTTTTTTGATGGAAAGTTGTGCTAAGGTTGATTCTGGTACCCAATACTCTTTTTGAAATGATCTCCAAAAGTTAGCTATTAACTGGGCACCCTTGTCTGATATGATTGCAATTGGAACCCCATGGGGTCCCTATCTCCTTAATATACAGCTTAGCATAATCTTCAGCTGAGAAGGTAGTCTTAACTAGTAGGAAATGAGCTGACTTGGCGAGTCGATCCATGATGACCCACATGGAATCAAATCTTCGGCGCAACTACGGTAACCCTGTAACAAAATCCATGTTGATCATCTCCCTTTCTAGGTCAGAATTCCACATTCTGAAGAAATCCTCCTGGTTTCTGGTGTTCAACCTTAACCTTTTAGCAATTTGGAATCTATGCGACGTATTCAGCAATGTTCCTCTTCATGCCATTCCACCAGTATAGCCATAGAAGATAGTGATATATCTTGGTTGACCTCGGATGAATAAAATACCGGTATTTATGAATCTTCGTCATGATCCACTCTCGCAAACCCCCGACACCAGACACACACAATCGGTCCTTGTATCTAAGGACTCCGTCCTCAGATAGCTCGAACACTTTCTTCTTTTGTAAGGGAATTCTTTCTCTTATTTTCACCAAGGTTGGATCTTCAAATTGTCATGCTTTTACTTCGGTTACTAACGAGGAATCAGCAACATTTCGAATTATGGATCCTCCACTACCGGTGCCTAGCAATCGTATACTTAAATTAGCCAACTGGTATAAGTCTTTAGTCATTTAAAACTTAAAATCTTCACATATCATAGGATGCCTATGGATTTCCGACTTAACGCGTCAGCCACAACATTTGCCTTCTCGGGGTGGTATAAAATATCAACATCATAATCCTTTAACAATTCAAGCCATCTCCGTTGCCTCATATTTAATTCATTTTGCTTGAATATGTACTTCAAACTCTTGTGATCGGTGAATATGTCTATATGAACTCCATACAGATAGTGACACTATATTCTTAAGGCAAATATAACAACTACTGGTTCTAGGTCATGAGTGGGGTAATGCTGCTCGTGTTTCCTTAGTTTCCTCGAAGCATAAGTGTTATACCCCGCAATATTACGATGATGTTACGTCTTGTAGTATTATATTAAGATGATGTTATGCCTTGCAGTATTACATTACGATGATGTTACGCTTCACAGTATTAAGTTATGACGATGTTGCACCCTGTAGTATTGTACGTTGAATTTGTCGTAAGGTAATTGACATCAGACCAAGTAAAAGATTATTTAGAGATTATAAGGATTATGCCATTTCACAAGTGATGAGTAAATTCGTGAAGGTGAAAGGGGAAGCAAGTCAAAGAAAATGAATTTTCGTCAAAGTTG